GAATGTCCCCGTGATGGCCACCCTAGAGTTGTAGCTGCTCTGGCTTCTAAGTAACAAGCCACAGAGGTATTTCATTGCTCCAGAAAAATATCCAAGTTTTGACTTTTAGTCCTGATTTGGAATCAAAATATTTTGATAAGCACAATTATTTTTTTCCTTGCAGAAGAGAAATGTGATCCCTGCCCAGCTCTAGTAGCACAAATCCAAAGTAGTCCGCCTACAGAAGGCCACACTCATTTCACAGCATCTGCTAAAGAGCTGAAGCAACTGTGGAGGGAGTACTGGAAACTACAATGTTGCTGTTACGTCAGAGCTTCAAGACCACAGTGTCAATGCTTCTGTCCAGCGTGACCCAGAGCAGGCTGCAACAGTGATAAAGACTTGTTCTCAGCTAGTGCAATGGCAAGAGTGACCACTAGACCCAGCCAGGAATGTCTGCCAAAATTATTTCTTGAGAGCAAATTCACTGTCTGCAAAACTAGCATCTTCTGTGAGGAAATTTCAGTTTCAAGTTTTTGCATCAGGAAGATCATAACATTTCTCTTTGTTGAAGTGAACTGAATTGGTATCTGTCAAATCAGTTTGGCATTAAAGTCAGAGGAGCAATGGGTAAAGATGCTCCGCTGGAGACAGGCAAGGGAGTCAGGGCTGCAAAGGTTTCCAGGACCCTGCACAGCTTCCTTCAGGTCCTGCCACGGGGCTGGACCTCGAGGGCTTCCAAGCCCCAGTGCAGAATGCTGAGGAATCTCTATCCTGTAAGACACTTCCTGCCTCGGGCTTCATGTCCTGATCTGGAATGAAGAAACTCTCCAAACCACAGCTTGGTTTTGCACATTTTGAACTTGAGGCCTTGGCCAGCTCTCCCTGCCCTGGTTTGGAAGACTCCTTATAATGGATAATGGTGACAAGTACCAGAAGAGCCATGCAGGCTACTACAGACCTGCTGAGATCCTCCCCACAAAACTCCACAGTGCTCTCCAACCAGAAGCATTGCACTGCTGGCCTATAGCAGAGATCTGCACCACAGCCCAAGTTCATATCTTCAAATGAGGCACCTTTTGAAGTAGCAGCCCACAAGTAGGGATGTGCAGAACTGCAATTCTGTTTAGAAAGTCCACCAGGTAAAGATGAAGTTTTCGTGTACAAGAACAACATGGATTTTTCCATATTAAATTTCACTGGGGCTCCAGTTTCTAACCAAAAGCAGCAGGGCTCCAGGCCCCATTCTTAGCTAGGGTTAATCAAACTAGCTCTAGTGAGTCCTACAGAGTGACACCCATTCACATCAGCTAAAACAGACATGTGTAAACTTGCAGAACACCTAGTAGCTTAAAATAGAAATAGCCAGGTATGCAGGAGACCACACACACACTGCATATGATCTGCTAAGGGGACTGAAACCACTAATAGTGGAAACAACACTGCAGCAGTGATGTCAGCACTTTCAGACCAGTGTCATTGCTTTGACCCAGCACAGGCTACAGCGGTGGTTAGTAGGCCTGTGTGAATAGGGAGCTATTCGATTTGGATTCAGATTTAGCCTATTCAGATGCCAGAGATATGTTTCGGAGATCCAAATTGTTTTTCCAATTCAATTCAGCTGAATCACTTTGGAAGATTCAGAATTGATTCAGAGCCAATTCGGAGATTTGGCCATAGAGTATAATGGGGAATCAATGAAATATCTATAACTTTGTTGTCTTTTGGCTCATTCCGATGAAACTTGTTGGGATGGTAGCCTCTGCTGTGAGCATAACACATGCCAAGCTTCAAGGTGATAGGTGTAGGGTTTTCTGGGAAACTGCACCTCAAAGTCCTGAAAGCAAAACTCATATCACATGTGTGTATTAGGCCACAGTGGGGAGAAAACTGCAGGGATGGTAGCTGTTGCTGAGGCCACAAAGGGGGCTTCTCACAAGGACAACTCAGTAAGTCACTTCCTCCATCAACACTGGTGGACGAGAATGCCAAAGAAGCCCCCTCATGCTCAAGTGCATCCCCTGGGGTGCAGATGTCCAAGCTGGGGTGGAACTGAGAGGGATACCACTCATCACAGTTAGAATCAGAATCAGATACTTCCTGGGTCGCAGCCGGTGGGTTTTTTTTTTTCTTGAGGTATATTCTCCCAGGGTGATACTTTGGGCTGAACCATACGACTGGCCCAGCTACTCAGACAGACCCCCTCCTACAGGCAATAGCAAGTTCCTATGCATGACCCTCATGCAGGCTGTGGCAGAAGACCACCCCTGTTTCTCCCCAAAAACTGTGCTCTGTGACAATTTGGTTAAGATGGGCCCTGCAGAGGGTACACACCTTACCCTATCTCTTTAAGTAACCTGAGCTGGATACATTCCTGAGGGAGGGGGGAAACCTGCTCCCTCTGCCTACGTGACTGGCATCACATACCTGGGTGAGGGGCTTGGGCCCCCTGGTGGGCTAGAGACTGCCAGTCTGCCCAGCAACCAGTGATGCATTTCAAATTGATTGGCTGACAGCCAACAGGTGCTGGCCTCCATTGGACCAGGTAAATCAGGTCATAAGGGCTATATAAGTTAAGGACTGCCCAGGAGGAAGAGGCAGCAGCCATGAGGAAGACTCAGAGAGAGAGGAGCTGAACCATCTGAAACTTGCTCTCTCTCTCAAAACTCATGATCAAGGAACTGCCTGCCTACAGAGGGAATCTCCAACTGCCTCTGGATGATACTTGTGAGTAAGCTACCTGAGATCTAACTAGATATATAGCTTGCAGTAACTCAGATGCGTAGCATGGGAGGCTTATTGTGTGTGGGTCTAGATTATGCCTTGGGGTCCCCTTGGTTTGGCTAACTAAGGGAGACCACTACTTGTGCTTCTGACTGAGAGAAGCACCCCCAAGTGCTTGAAGTGAGTCGAGTACCCTTGAGGGCTACTCGGCCTGTGTTTCCCAGGGTGCACAGAGCCAAAATAAATCCCAGCCCTGGGTGGTGGCAGTTTTTACTCCAAGCTAGCAGGTGTGCTCCAGGAAGGGGGTCGGCCAGATGTGAGGCACCCCCAGGGAGGCACTTGGAGCCTGGAAGGTGTTTGGGCACAGTGAGGTGGGTGGCTCAACGCAGGAGCACCCCCTACTGGCCCACCACACAGGCAAGTCCCCCATCCTTTGGGCAACAATGTATGGCTCAGCTCTCCATCGGTCAGTGATTTTATGCTTGCCTGTAAGTCTGAGGTTCTGCAGAAGCACTTGATCCCCCTAACTCAAACCCTGTTCTTGCACATGGCATCATAGCCTCACTTGTGGCGTAGTTGATTTCTACCTGTGGCATCTGCAGCTAACTGGTGGGCTCTTCTTAAACGATCTCTTAGTTGTTGGGCATATTACCCATGAGTCACATGCTGATCATAGCCCTTCTCTACTCCAAAACACAAGTCAATGGGGAGCCTGGGTTACCGCCCAAACATCAATAGATACGGACTAACCCCGGTGGCATTGTTGTGAGTAGAATTATAAGCATGCACCAAATGGGCCAGATGTTGACTCCATACAGCCTTTTGTTTGTGCCTTAGGGTGCCAAGCATATTTAATAGCGTGCGATTAAGTCGCTCAGGTTGCAGGACCCCTTGTGGATGGTATGGGGTGGTCCTGCATCTCTTTATCCCTGCAATGGTGAATACTTCCTTCAATAAGTGACTCTCAAAGTCCCACCTGTGATCCAAATGGATTTGGGTGGGCAACCTGAATATGGAGAAATATGTGCACCCCCGGGGCTAACCCTTGGGGAGCAGGATCCAGCGGCACCGGATCCTCCCAGCGGGGGACGGAATCCAAGGTTGAGGAAGTAGAAGGATTGTGGGTTAGGCTACATGGGGGGCAAGGAGAAAGGGATTTGGTGGTACGGGTCTGCTACAGACCCCCACATCAAGGGGAAGAAATAGATTCGGGGCTCCTGAGGCAGCTCTCAGAGACCATAAAAGCTAAAGAGGCGGTAGTCATGGGGGACCTAAACTACCCAGACATCTGCTGGGAGACACAGACGGAAAAGTCCCACCGCTCACGCAGGTTTCTAACCTGTGTGCTGGACCTCCACCTGACACAGGAGATACACGGCCCCACTAGGGGGAATGCCATACTGGATCTGATATTGGCAACGGGGGGGTGACATGGTAGGGGACCTACAGATCGGTAGCCATCTGGGGGACAGTGATCACCTAATAATAGAATTCACCATAAGACGTCGAGCGGGTAAGGTAACTAGTAGGGTGAAAGTACTAGACTTTAGGAAAGCTGATTTAAGTGAATTCAGGCGATTAGTGCTGTCACTGATTAGTGATCAGGTGGCTGTGCCTTAAGGAAATGATCCTTCGGGCACAAAGCAAGACGATCCCCATGCGGGGTAAAAGAGAGAAAGGGGCCAGGAGGCTTCCCTGGCTGACCGAAGAAATCCAGGGCAGCCTAAGGGCCAAAAGGGGAGCACATAAAAAGTGGAAACAGGGAGA